GGGAAGTGAGTCAAGATTCTTGTCTTGAAGCAAATTGTGAAGCCTGGTCAAGAAGGCTGTAAGCATGCAAACTTGCTCCTGTGGTCATGGCTTGGACAGGGACTGAGAAAGTGGAGACCACTCACACTTGTTTCCTTTCCCCCTGGAAACTGAGAGGTAGCTTAACTGTCTTGCATGGTGAGATGAGCTACCTCAGATACCTCTATCCTATTGCAACACTGGAGCGTGCATGTAGGCAGCTACAGCCAAGCAGCTGTATGTCTCCTTTGCACCTTCATTTAGCTCACAGGAGTGTGTCTGTACTCTGAGGAAGAAGGCCGGGAAGAGAGTTTATTTAGCAGTAGGCTTTCTGCCTTTCCCAGATTTGCTGCTGGATCTATCCTAACTGTAAATGCAGAAGTTTCTTGCTTTTATTCCCTGCCAGGAACCAGGACCAGCTGCTGCCTCCATTGTCATGGCTTGGCAGCTGCAAATTGCATGTAGCAAGAAGGCAGCAGAGGTGGAGTTCAGTGTTCCCCTTCGGAGTGAAGAGAAGGATGTAAATCTGTCCTGGCTACCCCTTCACCTGGCCCTTTGCCAGTGTGCACAAAGTGTTCACACTGTCACTGCCTTGACTGGCCTGTTTACTTTGCCAGCCTCCAGACCCAAACCAAAAAAACAATGGCAGCTCACCCTTCTGTTGCTCTGTTGTTCTCTTTTCTGACACAGATTTTGTGGCTTCCCTAACGTTGCATCTATGTAATCTTTTCATCTCCCTGGCAAGGCACAGCTCAGTCCTACCCACCCCACCAAGTCCTCTGAACTTCCACTTTCTCTGCAAGCCGCTGTCTGTCACAGCAGATCATGTCTGCCACCCCCTCACTGCATCCCACGTCTGTCCTGGGAGAGTAGGGCTGATTCATTCATACAGAAAGGAAACCACCTCTAGAAAGCATCGCTATTGAGAAGCACTAGCAGTGCACATATCTTCTCTGAATTTTATATGCAAGGAAATATCCTGGAGGACTGCTGCCACGGACGGAAGCTTTATCAGGAGGGGTGTCATGGTTTATAAACCCAGTTGGCAACTAAGCGCCACACAGCCACTTGCTCACTCTTCCTCCCCCTGCCCCGGTGGGATGAGGGAGAGAATCAGAAGAGCAAAAGTAAGAAAAGCCGTGGGTTGAGGTAAGAACAGTTTAATACTTGAAATAAAACAATAATAACAACAACAACAACAATAATAATAAATTGTAATGGAAAGTACAACAATGAGAGAGAGAGAGAGAGGAACAAAACCGGGTTGGGGGGAACAAGTGATGCAACTGGTCACCACCTGCTGACCGATGCCCAGTCAGTCCCCAAGCAGCAATTGCTATCCCCCTGGCCAACGCCCCCCAGCTTATATAGTGAGCATGACATCACATGGTATGGAATATCCCTTTGGCCAGTTTGGGTTAGCTGTCCCGGCTATACTCCCTCCCAGTTTCTTGTGCATCTCCTCACTGGCAGAGTATGGGAAGCTGAAAAGTCCTTGACTTAGTATAAACACTGCTTAGCAACAACTAAAACATCAGTGTGTTATCACATTATTCTCATGCTAAATCCAAAACACAGCACCATACCAGCTACTAGGAAGAAAATTTACTCTATCCCAGCTGAAACCAGGACAAGGGGTCAGCCTACAAATGTCAATGCAGTGGCTCTGAGTCATCTTTTCTGGAAGAGAAGAGGGAAAGCTGATTATATTCACCTTGTTGTGATGCTGAAGTTACATTGCAGTATGATGAGAAAAGATCCTGTTACCCTTCTCAAATTTAACTGAGGTGCTTGGCTTGGGGGTAAAAACTTGTTGTAGGGTGGCTGTTGCAAAGAGAATGAGCTATACAAAACCTTTTCCTTTATTTTAGTGCAGAAATTCCCCATTTAGATAACTGTCATGTGTGCAGTGCAGGTGCCTCCTGCCTCCCTTCCCCAAATCTGCTACAGATCCTCCTGGCTTGTTTACAAGCCAGGGCCCTGGCCTGAACACAAGGCTGGAGCGGTTTCCTACAGTGTGGAACATTTTGGGGAGGGGGGAAGCAGAGTTTACCAGCTTTACCCCCTGCATAATCCAGACTCCTGCTGAGGAGGCTGGCATGCAAATCAAGCAAGTACTTCCTTTTCCTTTTCTGACCTAGTTCCTGTCGGAGGAATCACAGCAGGGCATGACTCTCTCGTGTGGGGGCTCACCACCCTATGCAGCATGCTTGCTATAAACCTGGGATCTCGATTGCGGTTCCTATTGGCAATTGTTGCATACCTAGCCTGCCAGGATGAAAAACAGACCCTTGCAGCTGGAGGATGGATGCCTCAGTGATTCCTGAGGGAAGCTGCTTCCTGCAGGGGTGCTCCAGGAGATGCCTGCCAATGGGATTGTCTGTGGTGCTGTGCGCTGTGGGACTGTGCCGGGAAGGGATAGGGAGCAGCAAGTGATCATGCAGTGCAAGGATCTGCACTGATTAGCATTCAGAATAGCAGACTGAGGTGCTCTCACCCTCTCCTCCACCTGGCATTTGAGGCCACATACATGCTTGGAAGTAGTTAGCAGCTGGAAGGGAGAGTTGTTTGCAGAATCATCTTGCAAGGCTAACATCAACAGCAGACTGTTCTCTGGTTCCTTTTCTGTAACAAGCTATTGATGGCAGCTGTTTTCTGCCAGGAGCCACCAGTTTGGTTGTGGGATAGCCTGCTTGGTACAGTGTGATGATGCTGGGCTGAAGGAGCCCAGCTCAGCACTGCAGCAGGCACAGGGATCTTGCCCAGTTATGTTTGTTCAGTATTGCCCCTCAGGTGAGAAGAGAGCCTTCTGGCCCCTCATGTCCTCATCTTAAGACTTTCAGGTGTGCTATATTGGAAGGTGCTTATGGAATTAACAGTGGGTTTCTTGTAACCTTCCTGCTGCAGAATGAATGCACATGAACAGTGGCTGAGATCTTCCAGCAGTTCTCTCTAGTGAGAAATACCTTGTTTTCATACAGTGCTGGGATGTATCCACTTGCCTATATCAACCCATAGCATCCATAGTCACTCTCCTATGGATACATGCGTCTGCCTTGAAACATACTGGTTCCTGTGCATAAACCGGACAGTGCAGCCCTGTCAGCTTCATCCGTGCCAGCTTTTCTTGCTTTCCCTGCACCCTTTTCCCGTGAATTTTCTGGGATCAATGGGAGTATTTCCCACACAACCTCAAGGTGCCGCTTACTCATCAAGGCCTTGGGTTAAGTAACTTTTTCCTTTCCTGGTTCTCCCATCTGTGACTCTGAACTGACAGCAGTGAGTCTTATTGCTGGGGGAAAGCTCATCATAAGTCTAGAACAGGCAATGATAGGTGTGAAAGAAAGCTAAGGTGACCGTAGCTTCCTCCTTTTGTCAGTAAGCGTCCTATCCCATCCTCTCGCTTGGATCCAGTGCAGTGCTGGCATCTCCCAGGCACACTTGCTGCACGGTACTGTGGTTTCTCTGGCTGCAGCCCTGCTACGGGGGTTTGCCTGTAACACAGTGTTTTCCATTCACAACAGGACATCTGCCCTGGGTGTCTTAACAAGTTTGCTACAAATCCCTGTAAGAATCCATGAACTAGAAGCAGTTGATTGCACTCTCTTGCTTTCTGTATCTGGAACTGGAACTGATTCCAGTAGCCGTAATAAGAGTCAAATACATGTTTTATGTTCAGCAGCCGCACAAATTAAAGGGGAATGAGGTTGAATTAGTTAATGAATATTAGCAGTTCCCATGCAGAGCCAAGAGTCAATAAATCTCTGTGAGATCTGACTCTTTTTCAGCCATGTTCTGCCAAAGTAATTAATAAAACAAGTTGTTAAACATCAGCTGTGTTTTCCAGTGCCCAGACCTTTTGTTTGAGCCTCTCCCAAATTTAGGGTTCCCCTTTTCTTTTTGGAAACTTGTCTCAATGGGCCTGCCTTTTATCCAGCCTCCTCATCTGTCATCAGGATGAACATTGGGTTCTGCACAGGCAGTGTCTCTACAAATGTGTTTCTCAGTACCAGAATCCCTCTGCAGTCCTACATAAGCTGGTTTAGCCTTCACTCAAGCTCCAAGAGGCCTGCTTTGAGTTAGCTGAGAGGGCTGATGTTTCAATTCTAGACAATCGGATTGGAATTAACACTTAATTTGATGAATGGATATGTGACCTGTTCATTGCTCCTGTTTAAGACTGTCAGCAGACTGAGGCACACGTTGCTGCCCTGTCTAGATTCTGCTCTAATTCAGAGGCGTTTTCAGGGGCTCTGTGGGCTGCCTGTGTTCTTGCTAATCAAAAGGAAGTAATTAAACGCAACTTTGTCAGAAAGCATTATTTTTTCGTCTTAATCTGTAATTTGACTGTTATTGTTTGACTCCCACTTTTCCTGAAGTATCTAACCATAGGCAGCTAGAGAGAAGATATCAGGGGTTACCTTATTTCACAGGAAGAACCAGAGCAATATCTTGGGTATGAGGCTGTTTTCTCACTGAAGATTTGACTAATTGCAAGAAGGACTGGGTTGGGATTTGGGGAGAAAAATGCAGATTTTTTGTTGTTGTTTGTCCTGGGGCAGAGCACACCTCCTCTGGTTGCTTGAGTTTATTTCAGCTACTGAATTCCCTGCCTCTGGATGTTTGCTAGCATTAGGACTACCCTCAGTCTCTCCCTTGAATCAAAGTTAGAGGGCAGAGTGCCTGCACTGGGACCTCTGTATATCTCAGAGGCTTTGTTCAGCCCTGCTAGTGTCCCCAGAGTCCTGGTGAGAATCATGGACCTCCTGCGAGGTCTCCTCAAGGCAGGTGCTGCAAGGGGCTGCATCCAAGGGGATGAGTGCATGGGCTGTCTTTGAAGTGCTTGGTTTTGGGTCTTTGTACACAAGGTGAGTTACAAGGAAGTTACAACCTATATGTGCAAGAGTTTGTGTTCCATACAGAAACTCTTTCCACCCCCTGACTCCTTCCACCCATTCTGTGACCTCTTCTGGCAGGTGCCCATTGCTACGTTGTAGGGCTCTGAAGATGTCAAACAGCAACACAACACAGGAGTCTCTGGAAATAATGAAGGAGTCTGAAAAAAAGGTGGTTGAGGAATCTGTGAACAAAACCAAATATGTATCCAGGTCACCAAGCAAGGAGGAGGTGGAGAAGGATGGGGGGGAGGAGGTCAGCGTGCGACAGGAATCTCAGGTAAGTGTGCATACAAGTGGGTAGTCCCTTCTGCCAGCTTGCAGAGCGGGGCCCTCTCTACTTGGCAAACACAAGCTAGTTGCTATCCCTTCTGAAAGGGGCCTGAGCCTATGCTACCACCTCCCAAGGGGATACCATACTGTACAGACTGTGTTGTTCACAGACTGCTCTCTTTCTCTTTAGCTGAATCTGTTCTGCTCAGAGTGGAATAATTTAAATATTCTTTGAGCCCAGGAGAAAATGAGACTGGTGTGCTCCTGGGTGCACTTGTGCTCAGTCCGCAGGTTCTAGTCCCATGGCTGTTACCTCCCTCTTATTCCTTTCTTTGACCTAAGGATCAGTTAATGGCTCAATGTGAAGTGAAGGCATCCCAGGAAAGCTTGATTTCAGGAATGGCGCTTGGCCATTGCTTTGCTGCTGTTAAAAATGCCCAGATAGGAAGTGAATGTTTTGGGATTTCATTTCAGCAAGGAAAAAAAATCTGTGCAAGCATCATTTGGAGGGTGCTGGGACTC